GATCATTTGTACCGGCGATTGTCTTGGACAGGTGGCCAGTCATGCAGGTTCCAACTCCATTTTGTACTTCTAGTTTTCCTTTTTCTTCTCTTATTTTATTTGTTTTTTAAGATTGTACGTTCAAAATCTATTTCTGGACACAATATGTGTTGATGTTTTGTGGATTTTAAAAGCATTTAAAGACACAGTCAGGGCTTGAGTTGTGGGTGGTTGGAGGATGCTCTGGTGTGGTTTGCTCCTTCTTTCCGATCAAACATCTATCGTCCTTATCTCTCCTCCTCCTACTTTTGTGTTTGTTACTCTCTTGTAACACCTCTAATCTTCGGCCCTTCTATGACCTTATTGTGTTGCAAGTGCCGTAAAACTCTTAGGAGAATTCAAAGGGCTTAAGACGTGAATGCTGTACTAACATTGATGTATTTGCTGTTGTTGTGTGTGCAGTCAGGTCGGAGCATGATGGAGTATCAGACGCAGGCCAAGCAGTTGTTCAGGAAACTTTCCCAGGACCCCAATCCTCCTGCTAGATGCAGTCTTGAAACAGGCACCTACTTGTTCCAGTAAGCCAGTCACTCGTCCTCCTCTATGTCCTTTTTGCATTGTGGACTTTTCTTTTCATCTTTTGACCGTTTATCCCAGCTCGACTCATTCTCTCCTGTCCAACAACATCTGTTTCCCTGATCTCTCCTGTCCAACGTCTGTTTCCCTGATCTCTTTTGTCCAACAACATCTGTTTCCCCGATCCCTCCTGTCCAACAACATCTGTTTCCCTGATCTCTCTTGTCCAACAACATCTGTTTCCCTGATCTCTCCTGTCCAACAACATCTGTTTCCCTGATCTCTCCTGTCCAACAACGTCTGTTGCCTTGATCCCTCCTACTTTTCTTCTTTGTATGCTATTCTCTAGTAACACAACTAATCTTTGACACTTAAGACACATTTGTGTTGCCAGTACCGTAGAACTCCCACGAAAACTAAAGCCGGACTCATATTGGGCTGTTTCAATATCTCTTTCAAAATGGTCGCTTTTAAGGACAAGCAGGCTAACTCAGATTTCGTGGGTTTCCAGAAATCTTGACCTACACCAAAAATGGGCATTGTCCTACCCATAAGAGAAGTTTGGTTTCATTGGTGTGTATATTTGTTTGGTAATAGAGAAAACTCTCCTTGTCTTTTAAAGAAACTGAACGAGGGGCAAACACTTTACTTTCGATTTTTTCAAAACAACATTTTTAGGGATTGCCCAGTTGTGCTTAAAAGCCCCCAATTGATGAGCTGCTTTGTTGAGTGATTGGTTGTGTGGAATTAATGACTTGTGCCGTGGGCTAACCACTGACAACTTCATGGAATTAATGACTTGTGCCGTGGGCTAACCACTGACAACTTCACAGAAGGAAGTTTTCCGGTCGTAGTAGGTCCCTTCATTAGCGGCGTTTCCATCAAGTTTTTTCATGTGGAGAAAACTGAAGTGTTCATTTATAGTCCAGCACTCGCGCAGTACACTGTGGGTGGTTGGCAGGTGCTTTGGTGTGGTTTGTTCCTTCTTTCCTATCAAACATCTATCGTCCTTATCTCTCCTCCTTTTTTATGTTTGTTACTCTCTTGTAACACCTCTAATCTTCGGCACCTATATGACCTTATTGTGTTGCAATGCCGTAAAACTCTTATTAAAAGTAAGCATGTTACTCTAGTAACGTCTCTAATCTTCAGCACTTGTATGACCTAATTGTGTTGCAAGTGCCGTAAAACTCTCACTAAAACTACTACAACTAAAACCTACTCTCTGTGTTGTCTGTGTCCAGCTACCTGATCGAGCGGTCGGTGTGCTACCTGGTACTCTGTGACAAGGCCTTCTCCAAGCGGCTGGCGTTCACGTACCTGGAGGATCTACAGAACGAGTTCAGCTCACAGTACGGCTCCAGGCTGGACACCGTCTCAAGACCCTACTCCTTTATTGAGTTTGGTGAGTCCTCTCTCCTTTGATTTATAACCGTTCGTCTCTCAATGTCTGACGATGACCAGTGCGTCTTCATCCTTCCAGCCCCATGCGCGTATATTTTCAGCAGCACTTACACCCCCCGTCCCAAGAACGTATGTTCTCAGTTTCGGGGGCTATGGAATTTGCGCATTTTTCGAAGTTAGCGAATCTAATTAATCTTTAGTTTTCATATTTGTTCATTTACCTTTATACAACGTTAAGTGTTATTATCTAAACCTCATCACGAGGGGCTCTCATGGCTTAGAGGTTAAGGTGTTCGCCTCTCATTCAAAGGTCCCAGGTTCAAATCCGGGTAGCGACGGAAAAATTTCCTTCTCTAAAATTGTCTCCTTTCCCCTTCTTTCCTGCTCTCTAGCAATGTTCTGTCATCTGCTTTTGTCTCCACTTTCTGCCCCCACCCCCTCACCTCCTCTGCCCCCTCCTTTGGGCTCCTGACTCTTTCTGCAGCCTTTCCACAGCTACTCCTTGGCTCCTCCTTACAGCTGTCTTTCAGCCACACCCCTGATCTTCTGGTTGGACAGATCTACACCTAGCCTTCTCGGACAAGGGCAAAAAAAGCTCAGAGATCTTGTGTTCAAGTTGTGCACGTTAAAAATCCCTTTGTGGTCTAAAATCGATAAGAATAGGCTTCGGCCGCCACCCGGGCAAAGTTCAAAATTTCCTATCCACTGAAAAAAGTTTAATGTGTCCCGTGCGCTCATATGACCTTATGCAGTTGCGAGCACCGTAAAAACTTACTTACAAAAACATATGACCTTTTGCAGTTGCGAGCACCGTAAAAACTTTCCAAAAAAAACATGACCTTTTGCAGTTGCGAGCACTGTAAAAACATTTACCAAAAAAAAAGAAAGGAAAAAAAAGGAGAATATTGTGTAAATGGAAGAGAAGAAATAAGGGTTACGGTCATGTCTTGTCGCTCCTGCTGTGGCCAATGAGGCCAAGTGTGGCAGAGAAGAGTTGGCCACATTTTGGCCTATGTCCAAGTGTCATTTCTACCTGTGGGTGTGGGAGGCTTGTGTGCTTCTTTGTTTTACGGCGCTGGCAACTGCATAAGGTCAGATGAGCGCCAAGGGGTGAATGTAACTCTCTATGAACACCTCATCTTCAGCACCTGTAGTACCTATATGTGTTGTAGGTGCTGTCAAAGTTAACACGGACCTTTTTTTATTGTGCTTCGTTCGATTGAAATATACTCACTACCACACCCCAGGGCAGTGCTACTGACTGAAGTTGTCTTTAGGCCATTCCCGAAGGGGGGATATTAACATGTTCTTATGCACAGCAGAATTGTAAATGGGCTGATTCATCAATGTCATGCTCATACTGTGCCGGAACAACATAGGGGGAACTGCTGCTTTTTCTTTCCTCATCCTAACTATCGTCATTTTCCTCTACTTCTTTTGTATGTTTGTCACTCTCTTGTGACCCGCTATTTTTGGGGTGCCTTGATAGTCGAAGCAGACTTTGTGCTGTTGAAGCTAGAGAGGTGAGCAGAGTAAGCCTGATTCCCTGTAAGGACTTCTCTGTTGACATCCACCCGTTGTCGCTCATATGACCTTGTGCAGTTGCGCGTGCGGTAAAACCTCTACTGAAACTATAACTGACTTCCTTCTCTCCCCACGTTTGTCACGGTGCAGACACGTACATGCAGAAGGCGAGGAAGTCGTACATGGACTCCCGGGCACGCAGAAACCTCAGCCACATCAACACGGAGCTACAGGATGTGCAGAGGATCATGGTCCAAAATATCGACGACGTTTTGACCCGAGGAGAAATGATCTCAGGTGAGAAAAACGTGTGTAGTTTAGCAAGGGAAAGTACCGGAATGCTGTCTTGTCAGTTTTGAATTCCTGTATTTGGTCGCTTTGAAGCACAAGGGAGCCATCCCGAAAAATGCTTTATTGAGAAAATCGAAGGTAAAGTTTTTGCCCCTTGTTCGGTTTCTTTAAAAGATGAGAGTTTTTTCAATAACCAAACAATACTAAACACCAATGAAACCAAACTTCTCCGATAGGTTGGGCAATGCCCACTTTTGGTGTAGGTAAAGATTTCTGGAAACTCCCAAAATCTGGGTTAGCCCGCTTGTCCTTAAAAGCGACCATATAAACTGCCAAAACTTGTGTTTAGCAAGGGGAAGTATTGGAATGTTGTCCCGAAAGTTTTTAATTCTTGTATGAGGAGTGCATGGGAAGAACTACAGTAGTCACAAACTGGAAATTGTGAGGGCGCCTAATTTAAAAGCTTTTGGACTCATAACTTAGTATTTGTTTGACTGGTGGTTTATTATTAAGTCGACAAGCGTTCAAAATTGATACCCTCACGATTTTCAGTTTGTGATTATTCCCGTTTTCCCCGTGGACTCCTCGTACAAGCAGCCAAAACACCCGCATCTCTCGTCCCCCAAATATTGGGAATATGATCAAACATTGATGTGCCAGCAAGATGGATGAAAGCATATTGCGTTTATGATGTTTGTTTATCGCGACCTCATTGCTTTCTTGTCGTATCTCCATTTTTTTAAACAATGAAAACAGTTCATAACAAAGAGTGAGCTAAAGAAAAAGTCACGTTTTCACTGTTTGAAATAATGGAGATACCATAAGAAAGCGCTGAGGTCGCAATATGAGAAATGTGCGGTATTGTGCTGAAATCTGGCACTTGTCAAAATAATGAAATCGAAGGAACTCATTTTTCTGCTTATCTGGCCATTTTTATTTATTGATATATTTATTCATTATTTATTTATTCATTTTTTAAAAGATTTTTTTTTTTGCTCAACCCGTTTTTTGTCCATTTCAAAACACCATTTGTGTGTGTATTTTACTGTAAAACGTTGATGAAAGGCACAAAGAACCGTAAATTTGCAGTTTCCGGGGGCTCTCGAGCTTTGGAAGTCCCCAAACTATTTATAGCCCGGTTCCTTTTCCTACCTGAGGGAAGTGAGGAAAATTCCTACCTGGGGGAAGTGAGGAAAATTCCTACCTGGGGGAAGTGAGGAAAATTCCTACCTGGGGCAAGTGAGGAAAATTCCTACCTGGGACAAGTGAGGAAAATTCCTACCTGGGGCAAGTGAGGAAAATTCCTACCTGGGGCAAGTGAGGAAAATTCCTACCTGGGGGAAGGGAGGAAAATTCCTACCTGGGGGAAGGGAGGAAAATTCCTACCTGGGGGAAGTGAGGAAAATTCCTACCTGGGGCAAGTGAGGAAAATTCCTACCTGGGGGAAGTGCCTATCCCAAGACTGCAACATCGAGCCCCTGACAGGATTCGAACCCACAACTTTTCGGTTGCAAGCTGGGCAGCCTTACTGCTGAACCTCTGACGCCATGGGATGGATTTCCCTAAATATTTCTGTAGTTATTATCAACTGTTCTTATTTATTTATACATGTTTTTTTATTCTAAATTGTTCAGTATTGGACACCAAAGCCAGCAATTTGTCGACCCAAGCCCAGAAGTACAAAAAAGATGCCAAGTATCTGAACCTGCGGTCTTCCTACGCCAAGATCGGCGCTGTTGTTGTGGTAGTCGTCTTGTTCCTGCTCTTTCTGCGCTACTGGATCTTGTGAGGCGGGAACAGAGATAGAAGAAGTTTATTGATGTTTTCAGCCAGAAGTGTGTGAGTAAGTGTTACAGTTGTCGGCGCACGATGAAGTCACTGGATCCTCTCGTGTACCGTTGTTACGGCTTTTTTGCACGCCGCTGTTTGATCTATGAGTGTGTGGAATCTCTCCCCTGTGTGTGCATCGGGTCAGAACAGCGGGGCCTTTGTTCCTCATCTCTAACCTACCCGTAGTTTTTGAACGTGTGGGTGTGGGTGTGGGTGTGGGTGGTTGGTAGATGCTCTTGTGTGGTTTGCTCCTTCTTTCCTCTCCAACATTTATTGTCGTTGTTTTTCCTCCTCCCTTGTCTGGGTATGTTACTCTCTTGAAACACCTCTCATTTCCAGCTCTTCTAGGATCTTATTGGTCGCTTTTAACCACAAGTGGGCTAACACAGATTTCGGGGGTTTCCAGAAATCTTGACCTGCACCAAAAATGGGCATCACCCTACCCATAGGAGAATTTTGGTTTCATTGGTGTGTATATTTGTTTGGTTTTGGAGAAAACTCTCGTTGTCTTTGAAAGAAACTGAACAAAGGGCAAAAACTTCTCAAAACAGCATTTTTCGGGATAGCCCCTTGTGCTTGAAGGCTCGTTATGTAGAGAATCTTTGG